TACTTTTAGCGTATTCTTTGTTCAGGCATCGATTGATCGTAAGAGAGAAAACTGCTATAATAATATTTACCGTAACTGGAAAATAGTGTGCTATCATTTTGTTAAATGGTTTGTTTTAAGAAACGATGTTGATTGTTGTCGAAGTGTAATCAGTCGTTCTGTTTCGAAATTTTCAACATTGCTTTAAGAAAAACTCCTTGAATCGTAATTTATTTCAACCAATATTGTGTGTGTACTTATCAATTATTTCATAAACTGCACACAATTTTAGTATTCAGAATAAATTACTTTGTTTTTGAAACAACAACAGAGAAATTGAATTTATTAAACTTTACAGTCTCAATTTGTAACAATAATTAATAGCTCTTTTGTATGAATAGAAAATTTTGTTTTTGATTATTGTCCACGTCACTTCAACTCTTCCTTCAACTCCTACCACTTTAAGAACTTTGTGTATTTCCGCCTCCGCCGCCAGCGACTTCAGCTGCAGACACTGCAATATGGTTATTCAATATTGTATCTTGATGGTTTACAAACGTATCATTTGGGTCTCAAGCGACACAATACCTCATTATTTAATATTTGGACACCAAGCTTAAAAATACCGTTTGGCCTAACGGTACTAAAAAGTACATTATTATTTGCCTGTAAAAAGGTGATTTGGTAACTGAGCCTTTAGTCGTTGTAGTGGTAAACACGGAAAATCAGTGCACGTGGTAAATTGACGCCATTCGAGTGGGTGTAAATTGGAAATATTCTTAATGTGAGTTTTGCGAATTTCAATAAAAATAACTTTCTATATTTGATTTATAACAACAAATATTTTACGTGTATAGTAGCTTCCTAAAAATAGGCAAGAATTTTACAAATATACGAGTGTTTTTATATATTGCACTCAGAAGTACCGTCAGACCGATTTGATTTGTGTTTCGGTGAATTTATTTCGTACCTTTGTTTTCAGATTGTAACTCTTTTTACTTCGATAAAAATTTCTTGGTGGAAAAATAAGGAAGAACTTCTTGAAGAAGCGAACAAAACGGTCGATGAGTTGGAAAACATGATTATTGATAACAACCCGGAAACTGACGAGGAAGATGAAGATTTAGAAGAGGGTGAATTTCTACAGATTACGAATGTTATCGATGAAACTTATCAGACGGGAGCTATTGAAAATAATTTGTTAGAAGAGACGGTAAATGAAACACTAACTAAATAAGACAAAGAAAGAGATAGAAATAGAAAATGGCGAAAAAGAGATTTTAGTTTTGAATTACTTGAATACAATTTAGAAGAAGGTCCAGTTCACGAACATTTTTCACACTGTAATTCAGCAGTAGATGTTTTCTTGACATTCTTAGACCTGTTGCTGAAACTATAGTTTACCAGTCCAATTTATACGCTATCCAAAGGAATAGAATTCTTAAACTTACAAAAGAAGAGTTTTATGCATTTATTGGTAAAAATCTGTTCATGGGCTATCATAAGTTACCATCTTAGTATTGCTCATCTAGCAATGATCTAGGAATTCCCTTGATCACAAACACTATGTCCCGAGATAGATTTGATAAGATTTTATCAAATTTGCATTGCAACGATAATCACAATCTAAGTCCTACTAATACCGATAAATTGTTCAAACTTCGACCTTTTATTCTAAAACTAAATAAAATCTTTGAGACGTTATTTTTCGGTACGAAGGAATTATCCGTAGATGAGTTAATGATGGCATTCAAAAGTTGATCATCGATCAAACAATACAACCCCATGAAACCCATCAAAAAGGGGTTATAAGGTATGGGCACTTGCTGTCCAAAAAGGTTATATTTTGCGATTCGATGTGTATCAAGGGAAAAATGGAGCTACGAATGAAGAATGGAAGGACTATGGGTTAGGAAAAAAAATGTAGTATCTGACAGAGCTGGGTCGGATACAGGAAAAAAGTATTCGAGTACCGGATACCGGATACTTACAATGTATCCGGATATTGTTTTAAAAAAGTACGGATACTTTCTCCATAAAAGTATCCGGATACATGTATCCGGCAGTTTTCGGATACATTCTCTAATACTTTTAAAATTACCTAAATTATTGTTAAACTAATATATTGTCATCCATATTTTACTTATAGTGACTCCTAATCTTTTCTTCTATATTTTTCTCGAGTGGTCTCTCGTTGGGGAAATTTAGTGTACACTTGCTACGAAATGGGCTCTTTGAATTTTTTCTAAAAGGGGAAATTTAGTGTCCAAATTTTAATCGGAGAAAGAGCCCTCGATTTACCCACAATAATAAAAGAAAAGAATAACTAACTTCCAACATGTAAAGCCACAATTATTGAAGTAGTCACAAAAGATGTACAATAGTAGAAGAAACTGAAAAAAAATGGGGACTCAAACACTCTGGTGTATATGTACGTGTGTGACAATAGAATAGGAAATTTAAAAAAACTCTAATAATAGAGTTGAGTATCCGATGCCGGATACTTTCAGATTTAGTTATGGATACCGGATACCGAATACAAAATTTGAAAAGTATCCGGGTACAGAGATCGGATACTCAAAAAGTATCCGGATACTGTATCCGGATACAGAAGTATCCGGATACTACCCAACTCTGGTATCTGATAAGCAAATAACCCGAGGTGATTATGATTACAGATTCAGTTCACAGAATATAAGGTTTTTTAAGTGGAAAGACAACAAAGTGGTTCACTTTATCTCAAATCTTCACGGTAATACCGAAGAATTAATATATGTTGTATAATATGTTATATCGAGATGATTGCAATTATATCAACAGTGTAGACATAAATAATATTTCAAACTATGTCATCGCAATTGCTTAAAATAATCAAATATTATACAACAAGGCGATTGCATATTCTCGATAATCGATGTATATTTTTAGAATTTTAACCCGGTTATGCCCACAGTTCTCATAATGGAACACCCCCGTTTTTCTCCTCTCCACGTTTTGTTGTTAGTCACAACGTGATTTTGCAATCAGCAACACGTTTCCAGTAAACATGTTGATTACTGAGAGTGATTGTTTGACGAATTATTGTTCCTTTAACGTGTAGAAAAAATTGGAAATTTCTTTCGTAAAAAATTACTAGTAAAAGGTAAGTGACATTTTCTATTTTTAAACTAATATTATCTATTATTTTGCATTATGTTTATTAGCCTAACAATTCACAACACATTTCGATATATCATCTATAATAATAAATACGTTAAATACCAAAAAGCACTTTTTCCCAAAAGTTCCAATATTGGAACTATGGGCTAAACGTGTCCATAAAGATTTTTAATAATTTCAGACATCTCATAACTGCAGAACTCATTCAAGTAATAGAAAGGATTTTTGGGCGCTTATGTTTTTATCATTTCTCCAGATGAAAGTGCTGAAGATAGCGACAATGCAGATTTCTGCAACGACATCAATAACTAGATGGTCGACAGCTTCAAGCGGAAGCTATGGCGAAAATTACAAATCAAGGGCGGTCTTTCACAATTGGTGATAGTGACACTGACGAAGAGTCAAATAGTGACAACGAACCTTTGTCAGAATTACAAAAGAAGTTACGGAACTAAAGAAACTGGAAAAAATCCGATCTTATTTCTGAATTCCGAACTTTGAGAAACTGATGCAATTAGCACCCATTCCTTCTATTCCGGTGAAATACTTTGAACTTTTTCTTGATTTGGGCAGAAATGACGACGCACAGCAAAAGGGTGAACTTAATTTCCGAGTCTCCAATGAAGAAATAAATTGTTTTTTGGCCATACTACTATTATATCTGTCTATTGTGTGGTTCCTGGATGTAAAATGTGATGGGAGCTAGGAACAGGATCTTACAATATGGCACTAGTAAATTCTATGAGAAGAAATAGATTCAAAGTGATAAAAAAAATATCTCCACTGTGCAGATAATAATATACAAATTTGCAAAACTACGAGAATTGATGCAAATGCTTGATTCAAAATTTTTGAAATACTCAGAACTCTAAGAAAGGCTGAATGTTGATGAAAATATGGCTCCATACTTTAGTAAGCAGGGGAAAAAACAATTTTTAAAAGGAAAGCCGATACGATACAGTTACAAGATGTGGTCTCTGCGAACCTTTTGGATATTTGATGCAATCTGAACCATACCAAGGAAAAAACGGAATTGGGTAAAATTGGATTATTTGCATTTTCGAAGAATAGTTGTGTAATACACATATTTAAAAAACTAGTTTCGTAAGACACGCTTGAAATGCACGAATTTATGTTGAAAAACGAGTGGTAAGCCACGAGTTTTTTAATGAATGAGTCTTACGAAACGTGTTTTTTATGCTATTTTTTGTAATTCGCGTTTTTATCCTCCCTTTTATCAAAAATAAAATAAATTTTGACAATGTAGGGAAATACCTATTTACAGTCGCAGTTGATAACACCGTAATACTTGAAAATACAAATTACATCGGATGCTGCATTACAGCACCCGTTTGAGTACTGTAATAGCTTTCATTACCGTCGCGAATTACAAAAACGTATTTACAAAAATATGTTACTTCGCCGGCAGGAGGAGGGCGTTCATCTTCCCATAAATTGGCTTCCAGAGTGCCAACGTACATGTAACTATATGTTTAAAGTTTTTTAATATTACTCGATATCCTTAACACGATCTTCAACCTCATTATCTTTGAGTTACCCGGTGTTTATTACATTCCTCGGTCATAGTCAATACATGGTATACATGATCGCATTACATACATACTCACGTACAAATACAACACACTTTAGACACCACTCATAGTATTATACATACATATATAAATTTAATTTGCAATAAATTGATGGACCTATAGATGAATAAATAAATAGTAAAAATCAGAAAATATAATTGTAAGGTAACTAAAAATGATTTCAAACATAGAATGGAAGGAATTATGAATTCAATCTGTATTACAAATCGTAAATTTTAATTTGTTATTATTATGAATCAACACACATACCTGTATATTGGTTTAGCGACGTTATCTCGATACCATAATACCATATACACTCTATCCTCTCTGATGTGGGGTTCGATGTCACACGGAAGAGCGGCTCCCTTATTCCAAACAGCATCCACATACGAATAACCGACTGCAACAAAGCAAAACGGTGTGGCTTTAAAAGAATTACTAACTCCCATTGAATTATAATACTCATTACATAATTGTAGGAAATTACGCTATACTAATAACTAAGTTTTAATGAAAAATTATTATCAACATTTCGTATCCTCGAAATTAAACAAAAGTTACCACACGAAAACTGCTAATTAAGCTAAAGGCGAATGGGATTTTCCCTAAGGAAAAGTATAAGGGGTGATGGTCCCATCAATAAATTATAATTTAATTGTTCGGTAAAAGGGGTGGCACTCGTTCGGTATTCATTTGAGACGTTTAAGAGGTGATTACTTAGCCTCCTGACGCCCAAAAGGACGTTTCTTGCGTGTCGCCAAAGTCTCCCCCATCCCCATGGGATCAATCCTCAAAGGGTGGCGATAATTTAACGGTATGTTAGTTACCGACAGTAGCTCTAAACGGAATCTAAATTGGCTCGGCGCGGAAGGCTTGAATAATTTAATAATTTAATGGAAGCAATTTGATTTGGCCGACAGGATACGTTACCGTAATATCTCGCTTATAGCAAACTAAGGGCGGAGGTGAAGTAGCGCCGTTTATCATCGCAATCAGAACTTGGGAGTTTTACAAGGGCCTTTTAAATTTTTCACCGAAACGTATTTGCGAGGAGCGATAAATAGGTCGAGGGTTGCCGACCGTGAGGGGAAAAAAGCTGCGCCCATTTTTTCATATTCATTGGAGTTCTCGGAACCCCGTTCGGACAACCTCAGGTCGGGTATCATCGAACTTTTATCAGATTCAGGGGATTTTCTCTCAGCCGCCTTCGAGAGAATCCATGAAGCGGGAGCTAAGCCGCCCCTTATCTCGATAAACTGTCACGCCGCTAATCGGCTTGATTTTCAATTCCTGGTGCCGTAGCATCTTGTGTCAGAAAATTTTTAAACTATAATCACCTCAAGTTCGGTTTATATTTCTGCAACAAAACAAATTTAACATTTTGTTAAATATTAAAGATATTAATCTTGTAATATATTTTTAGACAATATTTAACAAACGGTTATTTAACGGAAATGGAATCTACTATATGTGTATATTAGGTTAAAGCCAGAGGCTTGGAGTCGCTCACTTCCAGATATACTGTAAATACGGCTACGTGTTTGCCGTTTTGATATAATTACTGTTTACTGAACGGCTAGGATCAGGTTGTTTGATCGGAGAAAATTTGCCAATTACTTGATGCTATAAATGCATAGTGTTATGAATTTATACATAAATGAGCATTCTAATATGTAATAGTAAATCAAATGAAATCATAAAAATTGAGACGATAAATCCGGTGAATTTCGGTAATTAGGAACCGGAACTCAACGATCCAAAAGCCGGAATTCTTCCAACAGGCGGCACTGTCATCCGATTTGTTGGATTCCACTCCGTAAATTCGTCAGAGGCAAAGGTTCGACACTGATAAGACGCGGAAGCAGAGGATTTGAGAGGTTATTGGACGTCTATGGATGCTCTCGAATTCCCCGTAATCTTTGAGGCAGATATTTGCGCTACCTTTTCGTGTTTCCCCCACGGTAATTCCTTTCGATTAGTCTTCAGAGGAAAAAAGAGGGATAAAATAGTGCCACTCAGCTGGTGTAACCTTCTTTTCCACTGAAATTATTTCATTTCTCTTTTCTATTGGTAATCCAAGTTTGCCAAGAGCTTTCGAAGCGTTCGGCCAAATTCGTTTCGAATTTCCCTAATTGTTTTGTTCGGATTAAAGTTTTGTTTGCAGGAAACGGCCCCATAACAATTCCGTGGCAATTAACGCCGCTAACAAGGATATGCTGCCGGTATAAATCATAGGGGGAAATTAGCGTTGAGGGGAAAGTTTGCACACAGCAAAAGCAGTAAGCGGTAATTTGGCTAATGTATTGTGGTCCGAGCTTTTTCCTGTTACTGTAATTGCACTTGTAGTTGTGGGACACCTGTTTTGGTCGAGTTATGGTTATTTTATGAGGAAATTAACCGGGAGGGTTCTCTGAGTAATCACCGTAGATTTACCTGTACAGGTAACAATCTAATCATAAGTTCTTGAACCCCAAGCTATATTCTTAACATTAAAGTCAACTCCAATGATAAATCTATCGCCTTGTTTCTTCAGAAATTCGACAAATTATCTCATTTCTTTTGCCAATGGTAGATCCACGATAATTGGCTGGATGAGCATCAATTTTCTTACAAAATGTCTTCCTATAAAGTTTCATCATAAAACCCCTAAATCTCAATATGACATCATAAATTAGGCCATTTTACCCTTAATTTGAAATGTAAATTGCTAGATAACTTTATCACAATAAATGAGATAGAAGCAACTTTTTTCTAGTACAAACTTTCCACAATGAATTTTGAAATATTTCAAGATCCAATTCCAATATGTGACGAAGGAGCACCCGATACGATTCTCTCTTGCCGGAATTTGAAGTTGCGTTTCCTTGACATATTGGCACACAGCTGTTGCCAAACAACATTCCACGAAAATTCCTTTTATTCGGCGTACAAGTGATGAGTGGCGAAATCGCGCCACATCTTCGAGATTGTAAACCTCCCCTTGGAATTTCTACACTGTTCAACGAGCGAACGACCAGGTCATAAATTTGAGATATTCGTGCCGCAAACCGACGCATAGTCTCGTCGCGGCGCGTCGTTTCGAAAACTCCCTGGCCTCATTTTCAATCATCAATTTTAAATTTCATTTTTCCAATCACAAACTGTCCAGGCGTAAAGCATTATGTCCCGTTAAGCGGGTCGCGATATCGGTAATTGAATGCGCATTGCGAAAATAACTTCACCTCATATACATATGCATATATATAAATGCAACGGCGGATGTTTTCAATTCCACCCATATTTGCCTTTATCTGGCGCCTGCCCGTTATTGGAAATCGTGACGGAATTTGATTTACGCGAAAAGAGAATGCACAACATTCAATTTTCGGCACTACCATATATGTTAATTCCAATATTACACACTATTGAATACGCTTTACCTACAATAGTGTCGATCGTTTCATATCAAAAATATTTTTATACTTTCTCTGGAACAATATCGCCTGAAACGACCACATAACATTTCTTACAGATGTTCGCGAATCATTTGCGTTTTAGTAGGCAGCGGTCGTTCTAGTAAATGCGCCCATTGTGTACGAAAATAGAGCGAAGTTTGAGGGGCCGCATTCTGTTGTTACCGATGTATACGTGTTTAGCACGTGTAAAGGTTTTTTCCTCCCAGGCGAAATCCATTTGCTTGACTAGTGGGCGGATACAGTCTGAGGACGAATTCTACAGCCTATTGTCAACTAACTCCTCTCTATTATAGTAATTGTAGCCAATATGGTAACCTTTGTCATCATTGATTGTACGCAATCAGACCAAAATTCAAATCAAAATAAAGTCTTGGAAAATAATGTTATTCAGATTTAAGTATTAATATTATATGAACCTCTCGACGTTTGATAAAGCAAAACGTTTCAATAAACATGCTTCATGTAGTGATTGATGTAGTTAAGCCATTTTCAATACATTTTCAAAGTATAAATTCCATTTATATTTCCGGATTTCGTGTATTATAAAGGCATCGCAAAACGCTTTGACATGAATACACCAATATTTGACCAATAAGTTATATTGGTTCAGCTCGAATGTGAAGTATTTTTTTAACCAGGGAACATTTATTTTTTAAAATAGCTAACATTAATTTTAAGTTATATTAGTGTAATAAGAACTCATTTAGTTGGACGAGGTTTCTTCTGTGAGAAGATTAGAATTAATTTAGTCTTTGAACAGGATGGAACTAAATATAATATAAAAGATATCTTTATGATTTTAGACAGTATAAAAAACATTAGCTACTAAAAACATTACTAGTTAAGAAGATACTTAACAAAGAAGACTGCAAATAGGAGAAAGACACAGGTCAGAAAGAAGGGGGACTAAGCAGAGACTTGAAAGTCATTAAGAAGAGCAGTAATAGAGGAAAGAAACACAGCAGAGACTAGAAAGGTCTAGAAAGAATAGAGGGTGCTCAGACAGAAAATTGAACAGAGACGAAGACACATGAAAGAAAAAAGATATAAGAAAAACACTTGACAGAAAGGAATGGAACTCAGCAGAGAGAACATGAAAGAGACCGGTAATAAAAGAAACAGACTAAATAGAGACTAGACAGAAAAGAGGGCGACTAAATGGGTACCGAAAAGACGAGAAGGAGACTGAATGACGCTGGAAGGGAGGAAAAAGATTACGCAGAAAGGAGGGAACTTATCAGAGCCTGGAAAGATATGAAAATGTTTTGTAATAAAAAAAAGAGGGTAAACAAAGACAATAAATATAAGAAATACAATGGGCAAAAAGGACGGAGACTCACCAGAGACTGGAGGTAGGATAGGAGTTGGTCAGAAAGAATGTGGATTGAACAGAGACTGAAAAGCCATGAAAGCGACTGCCAATAGAAAATAGAGGTTGAATGGATACCGGAAAGACGAGAAATAGACGAGTAAAAGAAAAAGACTGTATAGAGATTGACAAGAGAGGAAAATGACTGGGGAAAAAGAAGAGGAACTTGATAATAGAAGAAACTAAACAAATACAAGACAAATATAACAAATGTAAGAAAGACATTGGGCGGCAAGGAAGAAGAGTAGTGACTGAAAAGACATGGAAGAGACTGGTAATGAAAGAAAAAGACTGAACAGAAACAAAGGTAGAAGAAAGGTTTTGGACTTCTAGTCGTGCCCGATGAAGAAATCACTTGTATTCTTTCATTATTATAAGAATAACACTAAATTAAAATCAACTATATTCAAGATTTCTGCATTTTAGTTGGTTTCTAGCTTCTTTCTTTATGACTTTGTTTGGGATATTCCTTTCTTTCCTTTTGGCATCCTTCTTTTGGTTCCATCAACGTTAATAGTTTTTTCACAGTCTTCATCTTTCAGACTTCTTCTTTCTCTCTATTCTGAATTATTTTTTATTTCTGAATTCTGGATTCTGCTTAGTTTTTAACTTTTCGCCGATAAGT